GTTTACACGGCATTCCGTTGACCTCGCCCTTGATGATTAGACTATTCCCATCATGGGTTTGTGAGATCGAGATCCTTGGGGCTCTTTTAACATCAGCCAGCACCCGCCCCGCAGTTCTGGCTTTTACTCGTTTCCCTGCTGCTGCTGGGCGGTGCTGTTGGCGGCACTACCCTCCTGAGATCGTTCACCTTCCCTTTCTAGGGTTCGCTTAGGGCAGCTGGATCGAAGGTGGCCCTTTTCCCCACAGCCATAGCACCTAGGGGTCTTTGTTGCGGTCGCGAACTGTAGCTGCTGCAACCTCCCTGACGCGATGGGAACGATGATCCTGCCGCACGGCTTCCACCTCCAGTGCATGGGCCAAGGTGTCCTTAAGCGTCTCGTGGTGCCCGAGCCTCACAGCAGCTCTGACTTCCAGGTCGCGGATGCCATCGATGAATGTCTGCACCAGGTTCCCTTCAATGAGCGCCGGTACAGACCGGTATGCTTTTCGCACCAGCTTTTCCACCTCTAGAGCCCACTGCTGCAGGTTTTCGTTGATGCGCTGCGCGCGATATTTAAGCTGCGCACGAAAGACGTGTCCCAGGTGAGCGTCGCCATATCTCGCCTCCAATGCCTCAAGGAGTTGCTCATAAGTCACTTCCTCACCGAGAGCTTCCAGAACTGTTAAGGCCTGGTCGCGCAGGCCTAGTGTGAGAGCAGTCATGGCCTGACTTTTATTCCAGCCGTTCGCCTTCATAACAGCCTCGAACTGGATTTTATAGGCTGACCAGGAAGAAGTCCCGTCGAACGGTGGCACCTTGAACCCACGTAGCGAAGGTGTAGTAGCTACTACGGGAGCTGTAGTTCCATCCCCAAGTTTGAGTTCGTCCAGTGATTTCTTCATGTCAGCCATTACGTTGTCAACCCGATTGTTCACTTGGTCGATTCGGGTTTCAGCTTCCGACAGGCGGTTGTCATGTTGAGCAACCTTATCTTTCACCTCCCGTATCTCTTTTCCGAAGGTAGCGTGGATATCTTTCATGAGGAGCATCTGCTCTTCCTTATCGCGTTTGAGCTGCTCTTCCAAACGACGGACCTGTTCCTCCTGTCCGCCCTGCAGCTGCTCTTCCAATCGGCGGGCATGTTCCTCCTGTCCGCGCTATAGCTGCTGCAGCATCACCATCAGAGCACCTAAGTCAGGTGATGCAGATGCAGGAGCTACTGACGGGCCGACCTCCGTTGCCTGCGGCTGGCCCTCCGAAGTCTGCGGCGTTGCACCACCAAATCTTCTCTGGTCCGTCTCCTGCTGGCGTTGACTTTGGGTACGGACACACTCCGTTCCCTCCTTAGGTAAAATCGGCATGATTTAATCCCACTTCTGACACCAATTGTTACGAGCTTGAGGTTCGTGACAATAAAAATTGCCGATAGAATTACCTAAATTAACACTTTAATTCACTTTACACTAATTTAAGTTAAAAACACTAATAATTAATCACACTGATTCACTTTATTCCGCTCCGAAGCTTCGCTTGTCTCGCCAACTTCAATACTTCCTCGATCGCATCTTGCAGCGCCTATTTATATAAATTAGCAGCGAAATATACAGAATATTCAAGTAAACACGCGCAAGGTACCGAGAGTTCGTGTTTCAATTTCAAGAAGTTTAGTTCTTCGGTTCGAGACTAGATGGCGCTAGTGCCGTCGACTTGAGCGCGTAACAATACGAATTGCTGGGAACGGTTCTTAAAATAGCTATTAAACCACTTAATAGCATTTCTACTTAAACCATAGTATGATAACTTAGAAAGTAGTAAGGAAACATTAATGGTATCGAATGCCCATGAGAAATCCAGCAAAGTCAAAATAGTGCCCTCTCCGTTGGCTTGTGCTGTCAATATGTCGTCTACGACCTGAGTTAAGGCAGTTGTAGTGCTGCGCTGTTTTCTAAAACCCGATTGCAGCCTGGGCAGTATATTATTGGTCTCAAGATATTGAGGTAATTGCTTACATGCCATTTTCTCTATAATTTTAGATAAGCACGGTAAGATGCTGATGGGTCGAAGGTCAGACATACAAACAGGATTACTAACTTTTGATATAGGTTTAACAAGGGCTGGCTGCCATACAGTAGGATAGGTGTTTGTTACGAAAGATTTATTGATTATTGAAATTATTACTTCAAGACAATCTGGAAGTAACAGCCTTATCATGTCTAGTGATATCCCATCGCAACCAATTGCGTTAGTATGTAATGACCTTAAAATAGTTGCAACCTCAGATTCTGAGATTGAAAGTAGGTGAGGAGAGATATAGCTACATTACTTTCTCCGGAGATATTTAGAAAATGATCGTTCATAGCATTTGGATCATTGAAATGAGCTGGCAGAGAATTATCTTTGTTTTTTATTTGTACATGTTGCTTAATATGCTTCCACATGACTTTTGATTGATTCATTTTTGAGTTAACAAAAAATTGAAAGTACGCCTTTTTTTCTGACTCAAGGGCACTTTTAACTATTGATTTTAGCTCTTTATAAGTGAGTTTAGTAGTAGTAGAAGTTTTAGCTCTTGTGGGAGACAAGAAGTATTATAAAGAGCTAAATTTGTCTTACGAGCCCTCCCCTGTGCTTCATCACGCGTCTTCATCATACACTTTATGTTATATGTTATCCAAGGATAATGTTTGTTTTTTATGTAAGCGGTCTTCATTGGTGCATTTTTATCAAAAATATTTATTACAGTTTTGTTAAAGATACCCACCATATCATTGACATCATTCAATAACGTGAAGCTATACCAGTCTACATGGTTAAGGTCATCTTTGAGAACATCTATATCGATAGTTCTCAATGGTCTAAACGTAACCCATCCAACCCACGTACACACAACATCTAAGAGAGTCTGACTACTTTCGGTAAAATGTGTTGGTACTTCAGCATATTGTGTAAGATTACAACAGTTGAGAAAGTCATAGAACATCTTAGTACTTGCGCTATGTCTATTAAGGAGGTCAATATTAAAATCCCCAATTAAAACAGTATAATCGTACCCTGCGAAGGATCCTAACGACTTACTTAACGCTTCCAAGAATAATTGTACTCTAAGCCACGGGGGACGATAAGCAGTGCCTATGATAAGTGATTTACCACTCATTTTAATATTTATCCACATTTGCTCCACCATAGGGCAAACAGGATGCTCAATAATTCGCGTAGTTAAGCCCTGCTTCAAATAAAAACCTACCCCCCCCCCACCGCGTGCACGGACTTCGGCAGGTCGGGGAATGTGTCGCAGTCGGTAACCTGGGACTGATGGCGCACGGCCTTCCTCACCCTCCCGAAGCCATGTTTCATTGATGGCCATTATGTCCACTGAATGACGCGCCATGGCAACCAAGAACTCATCGTATTTGGTGCCAAGAGATCCAGGATTTAGTACACCAATTTTTTATGTATTTAACTTAATCATTTTTGCTAAAATTGTATATTTTTGCAAAGATATAGATAATTAATTCAATATAATAAGTGTACAAAACTTGATTATGATTCCATACAATAACGGTTAAAATTACAACTTTAAAAGGTACATGACTACTTAAAACGAATAACGTAATAACTATAGATAAAATACGGACATGGATGATAACGAACGAGACTACATTATTACTTGAAACGCTGCAGCACGGATCTGGGCAAGCAAAAGACCTAGGAAATAACTTAAATTTATCGAAAACAATAAAACAACAAAATAACACTAATTTGTCTAAAACAATAAAATAATAAAATAACTTAAATTTATCTAAAACAATAAAACAATTAAAAAACTTAAACCTATCTAAAATAATAATTGTAGTTAATGCTATAAATATAATATTTCTATAAATGTGAGAGGGTTTTTTTCCATTTCCATCTCCCACTTTTTAGGGTTCCGTAGTCAACTAGGAACCCTTATAGTTCGCCATGTCTGTCTGTCCTCGCTTAATCTCTGTGACCGTTAGCACTAGAAAGCTGAAATTTGGTACCAATATGTGTATCAATCACGCCGACAAAGATAAGATAAAAATTGGAAAAAAATGTTTTATTAGGGTAGCCCCCCTATATGTAAAGTGGGAAGTGATTTTTTTTAATTTCAACCCTAACGTGTGATATATTGTTGGAAAGGTATTTAAAAATGAATAGGGGTTTACTAAAATCATTTTTTGATAATGTCAGTAATTTCCGAAATAATCGCTCCAAAAGTAAAAAACAATGTGTGTCCCCCCCCCCCTTCTAACTTTTGAACCATAAGTTTAGAAAATATGAAAAAAATCTGAAAAGTAGAACTTTATAAGGACTTTCTAGGAAAATCATTTTGAACTTGAATGGAGCAACAGTACCCACTACCGGGAGCAGTTGCAGGAGCGCGAACATAATGGATACCCACCTTTAAACTTATAAGTGGGAACACTTATTGTGACGGACGGGAAACTACGGAACCCTACACTGAGCGTGGCCCAACACGCTCTTGGCCGGTTTTATTAAACAATAAAAATAGTAATCAAAGATGATTATGTGTGAAAGCTTTAGTTCAATAGTGTTAAAATAAATCCAATAAACATTAGCCAAATTACTTTTAAGGCGACACAGCAATGAACACATTAAAACACAAAAAAGTCTTTGCTATGTCAAGGTCGGTGAGAATCCGGTGACGAGATGTGTTCGAATCGCGGCGTGCAAAATGCATCCATCCCGCGTCCATACATACCGCCAGCCTTTACGCCTCCCTTCCTCCCGTGCCTTGTAGAATAATTGCTTATTAATAGGAGTGAGGCGCTCATTTACATAAAACCGGCTCATCTCAACACCTATGTTTAGTCCGCCGGCATCGGCACCGCGTCGCACGCGCGCCGAACGTATCAGTTGATCTCGAATCGCTCGCCGAGTAAGTCGCACAACTAAAGAACGTGGTCTAGGCTTATCGACGCGGCTTTCGTCTTCGCGACGCATGACTCCTACACGCCTCACACTTACAACATCGCGCTAGTCCAGCTCAACGCCGATCTTAGTGGCTAGCACTGTCACGACATGCAGGGAATTTTCGCCCTTGACTTCTGCTACTCCGGATATTTCAATGTCTTTGAGTAATAAATCTTGATCCCGCTCATTTAGGCGACACTTGAGTTCAGTTAATGTGTCTTCCAATTTGGAGTCTGTTGTCTGAGGTTGTGGATCCGCCGCGCGCTGTTCAAGATGTATAACCCTTTTTTCAATATCGCCGACTCTATTGTTTAGCTCATCTACATTAGAACTTATTTTTGATATAACTTCTCGAAATGATATTATCTCACGGGCGATAGTAGTTAACTGCTCGCGTATTAATTTTATTTCACTCGCCAAGTTTATGTTATCATCACAGCTCCCTCTGTCGCTAGTGCCCGGAACTACTTCGCCGAGCTCAGTATCTGTGCCACCAGAGCTAAGCGAGCCAGGCGTAGCGCTCACACCTGCTTCACTTGGACTCCTCGTCTTACATCCGTGACATTGCCATTTATTTAATTTACGGGCATCGTTTTTAAGATTAACGCATTGCCGATGGAACATATTCAAAATATTAGAGTACTTTGCACCGTCCATTGTGGAGGTGAATCTTCCACAGACACCACACTTATTCGCCATTCTTATCTATACTTATCGGGCAATGTAGGTAAACAGTTCTAAATATCGCTAAGAGATGTCACTGTAACTAGTTTAATTTAAAAGCTTGTTTAGAGGATTTAACTTATTCATATATTTATAATACGCACTTCCTATTATATGTAATATAGTTTCAAGCACTTATATTAAGTTGTACTCACTATTTAGAAGCAATCCAAGGACTAACAGCTGATCTTACAATCAGCTGATACACTGTCAGTTGATTTACACTTAAAAAAGTTATTTCTGCCACTATAACATTGAACCATACACTGAATCACGTCACACTACTGAATTGTTTATAATAACCTATTCAATTAGTAATAATAACCGTATTTAAATAAAAAAATCTTTTAATATAAGAGACGAAGCGTTTGACAGCCGACTGTGCTACCCTTTACTCTAATATGGTATGGGTGTGCGATATGCACGGAAAAGCCGTGTTGCTACAACAAACCCGCTTACCACCGGCACTAAGATGATATGTCTAGGACACATCGGTTAGCAAATCCAAGTTTACCACGGACCAATTGCTCGTGAAGCAGCATACACGTAACCACCATAATAATCCTTTTCAAGTCCCTAATAAAGGACTAGTCATTTTGCTACAGTACTAAGAGCAGTCGGTCACCCTTCTACCCCATATAATACTTATGCATCAAGGAGACCTTCTATAATAATGCTTTTGTATCATAGAGCTTACTTTCATAAGTCATTAATATATATATGACTTCAACCCACGATTCTACTATTGTAATGTAAATTCATCATAGAGACCTTCTATAGTATTGCTTTTGTATCATAGACCTAACTTTCATAAGTCATTAATATATAGGACTTCAACCCACGACCCTGCTATTGTTATGCAAAGTGATCATAGAGACCTTCTATAGTATTGCTTTTGTATCATAGACCTAACTTTCATAAGTCATTAATATATAGGACTTCAACCCACAACCCTATTATTGTAATGCAAATTCATCATAGAGACCTTCTATAGTATTGCTTTTGTATAATTGAGTTTACTATCATAAGTCCCTAACATATAACTAGTCATTGTGCTACAGTACTTCAAGCAGTCGGGCACCCGACCACCCCATATAATATATACAACTGCAGGTATGTATCTCCGGCAGCTCCTCCATACAAGACATCTATACATGAACACCTTCCATAACTTAGGATTTTCTTTTATACATGAACTCCTTCTACGACTTAGACAATTTTGACCAATTTTCTATTTATCTGTTTTAGTACAGAATCTGGAGCCATTTGAACGTGGTCGATTGGTCTGTATTGGCACAATATTATATATTACCTACAGACGCAGGGATCGTCGTCACTGTCTACGCGCAGCTATAAGATGGACAGGTCCATACCAACACACCAGATGTCCGATCTGACGTGCACGCAAACTCCAGCCCGGGGCACAAAGAAGTGTTCTAATTTGTACCCTGGGTAGGAGAGATACGAAGTATCAGCCGGAAAGGATACCTGTGTCTCGGTTAGAAAGAGCAAGGCCGGCTTCGCCGTTTCTAGATGGTAGTGGACGGCGTTAAGGTTTGAATGAAGTCCCCTGATGTTGCAGAAATTCACGGATAGCGTGGCAAGCAGCCTTTAACTTATTGCTGCGTTTGCCCCGAGCTGGTTTAGTCTCGAACGGAATTTCACTATAATTTAGAATTTACCTATTATAATTACTCTTACCTCGATTCTAGATCGTAATGATAAATCCAAGAATCATTAAATGTAATAATATCATAAACATGCCGATACGAGTCTGCTTCAAGTGGCTTCAGCCGGTGTTAAGGTGTTTATGTAAAATTTCGTGAATACTTCCTGATCTAATCTGCATTAAGTGTTGAATCTCGTCGTACATAATTCTTGTATGCCTGCTGGTATTGAAAAATGTAATTAAAGAGACTCAGTTATATATTTCACTGCTAACACGTTCACGCAGTCCCGTAGTTCACGTAGGGGAAGTAGGGGGAATGGCGTTCACTTAAGAGCAAAACGCTCTATTTAAGATAGTGGTCTATTTTAAAATATGAAAAAATTACTAAGGTTTAACTAAATGGTAATACACGTTATAATACAAAAAAATTTATCTTTTACATATAATCAGCAAAAAAAACCTACAAAAAATATTTGAGCGCCCCTGACTATGCCCCGGACTATGGGTAATACGGCTCAGGCTTAAGGATAATGATGCTCGTACCCATTTGTTTGAATATCCCAAGTAAGACAATTTTTTCAATATTTAAAACACCTTAAATCAACTATAATTAACTAAAATAAATGCTACCAATCGCAATAAACCATAATATTCCTTATTAGAAGTAACATCTATGACTAATCACCAGACTTGAATATTTGGCACAAAAATCCTAGATATCCTTCTAAAATATCCCATCAAGAGCTCATGGCATGAAACCACAGTCCGCATCTGGTACAGCGATACCACATCTCATTATTTCGTCAACATTTTTCGCAAAGATTGAATTTGTTATAATTTCCTCCCTCCACGTTCACTTCATCATCACTGTCATCGTTGCAAGGATTTTAATTTTCTTCATCTTTGTGTCCTGAAATATGTTACATTTCCCTCTGGTTATCTTATCGACCGGATTATGACCTAGTTCTGGATTGCTATTTAGCTCAATCTTTGGTTTATCCCTCGACAAAGTGAATAGAATGTTATTTGTTTTCACTGCATGTCTTTTAGGTATCCCCCTTTTTAATTGCAGTCTTAGCGTGTTGCCGCTTTGTCGATGGTTCTTTGACGTTTTCTTGGCATACCTGATAATAAAATGTAAAAAAAAATCACTAATGTATTGTTGCGCGCCTAAGTTGACGTCTGGCACTAGCGCCATCTAGTGTCGGGTAACAGAGCGAGGAGAGCTTTCCAGAAAATAACATGACTAATATAAAATATAAACTGGAATTACAGCTCCCGTAGTAACTACAACACCTTCGCTACGTGGGTTCAAAGTGCCGCCGTTCGACGGGACTTCTTCCTTGTCGGCTTACAAAATCCAGTTCGAAGCTGTTATGAAGGCGAACGGCTGGAATAAAAGTCAGGCCATGACTGCTCTCACACTAGGCCTGCGCGACCAGGCCTTAACAGTTCTGGAAGCTCTCGGTGACGAAGTGACTTATGAGCAGCTCCTTGAGGCATTGGAAGCGAGATATGGCGATGCTCACCTGGAACACGTCTTTCGTGCGCAGCTTAAATATCGCGTGCAACGCATCAACGAAAACCTGCAGCAGCGGGCTCTAGAGGTGGAGAAGCTGGTGCGAAAAGCATACCGGTCCGTACCTGCGCTCATAGAAGGGAACCTGGTGCAGACATTCATCGACGGCATCCGCGACCTTGAAGTCAGAACTGCTGTGAGGCTCGGGCACCACGAGACGCATAAGGACGCCTTGGCCCATGCACTGAAGGTGGAAGCCGTGCGGCAGTATCATCGTTCCCATCGCGTCAGGGAGGTTGCAGCAGCTACAGTTCGCGACCGCAATAAAGGATACAGCCCTAGGTGCTATGGCTGTGGGAAAAGGGGCGATCTTCGATCCAGCTGCCCTAAACGAACCGTAGAAAGGGAAGTTGATCGATCTCGAGAGGGTAGTGCAGCTAACGGCACCGCCTGGCGGCAGCAGGATCATCGTTCCCCTCACGCTAGGGAGATTACAACAGTTACGGTTCGCGACTACAATAAAGGATACAACCCTAGGTGCTATGGCTGTGGGGAAAGGGGCCATCTTCGATCCAGATGCCCTAAGTGAACCCTAGAAAAGGAAGGTGAACGATCTGAGAAGGGAAGTGCGGCTAACATCACCGCCCAGCAGCAGCAGGAATACGACTTTACTATCAGACATCGCAGCGGGAAATCTCATGGCAACGCAGATGCATTGTCAAGAAGACCTTGTCCTGAAGATTGCGAACATTGTACTAGGCAAGAGAGTAAGGAAGTGGTATCCGTGAGGATGCTCAAGACAGACCACCTCAGCAACGAGTGGAAGGACAGCCTACGACATGCACAGCAGGAAGATCCGAACATCAAGCCGATTCTGGAATGGATGAAGGCCCGTGCTACCAAGCCTAAGTGGAGCGACTTCTCAGCGATGAGTTCGAACACTGGAAGCTATTGGGCCCAGTGGGACAGCTTGCTGATTCAGGATGGAGTCCTGTGCCGTAAATGAAACAATGGTTGAGGAGACAGCTGTCGTTTGCAAATGGTTGACCCTAAAGCTAAAGTGCCGAATGTTCTACAGCTGCACCATAATGGTTGTTCAGGAGTCCATCTGGGAGTTAAATGAACTCTACTGAAGATCCGAGAACAGTTTTACTGGGTCCATTATCCTTTCCTTTTGTCTCATTTTGATTTTTATGTTACTGAGTACTGTTAATTTTATTTTATTTTCCCTTATACTCTGTTTATTGTGCATTTATTATTTACTGTTACCAATTTAATATTACTTTGTGGATAACGGTGCTGGTTACATAATGACTAATATTATTTATAAAATGTTATTTGGTTTAAGCATTATTATGTAATTGTTTGTTGTCCTGAATAAATTAAAAAAAAATTATCGTGACGATGTCGAGGATTGGTGTCGCACATATACAAGTTGTGCGGCTGTGAGGGGACCTCAGACAAGTAGTAGAGGAGCATCGAAATTGTACAATATTGGTGCACCATGGGATAGGACAGCCCTTGACATTGCGGAGCCATTACAGAAAGGTGCAAGAGGGACTCCTAAGATCGTCCATTTGGATCGCCTGGCGCGTTATTATGGGGCAGATAATGCTCGGGACGAGCATGTCTTAGGAGGGGGGGCAGTGTTGCGTGCCTAAGTTAATGTCTGCCACTAGCGCCATCTAGTGTCGGGTAACAGAGCGAGGAGAG